ACTATTCACAGGCTATTTTGAATATTCCCCCGTAGTTAATTTGGGGTTTTTTTAAGGAAAATTGCAGGATCGGTTTCTAACTTTTCATATTTTTGCAGACATTATCCTAATCTTCACTTTGTGTCAACCATAATCCCAAATCTTTAAAAAAATATGCAATTGGGATCCAAATGGATGGGAATACCTTTGACCAGGAAGGTCAAAATTTAATCAATTTTGACAAAATTAATAAGGGCAAAATGGTACTTCTTATTTTCCTTACATAAAATAAGTTTAAAAATAAAAATAAATCAAACCCCTTCATCAATCGTCACCACCCCATCCAACCTCCTTCTCAACCCAACCCAAACTCCATCTTCTTTCTATAGCCGTCGGCACCACACAGCCTCCACGCCAACAACTAATCAACCACCAACCTGGACAAATTCTTATAACATTCAGAACAAGTAAATCAAATGTGATATCAACATATGAAGCCCATTTTTACACAAATAAATGAGGAAATATGATTTTACCTTCCAAGTTTGGTGATGAAGAAGATGACTTGTTCTTGTAGAAATCAATGCAACACAAGATAAAATTGGTGACAATAGACCCCTAATCCCTCTTCTTCACAATAAATTGTTTGCCATTTTTAGTGCAGTTCCAAGGATTAAGAATACGTGCATATAGGGAAAGGACCCCAAGTTCGTGATCTCCAGAAAGGTAGGTGGTGATAAGCTCAACGCAACTTTACTACTTTATCGTGGTGTTCATGGATCGGGTATCTCCTTCTGCTATTTCTTTTTCTTTCTTTCTTTTTTTTTTTTTTTACTTGTATTCTTAAATGTAATCCCAGTTATCATTTCACTTACTATTATCTTTTTTCCGAACTAGGTGTCGAAGTTGTCATTGTGACACTTGGGGGGCTAATTGATATGTTGGAGTCTCATCACACAAACCTGCGACGGGTTACATATCTTGTGTTGGATGAGGCGGATCGGATGCTAGATATGGGTTTTGAACCTCAGATTCGAAATATTATTAATCAGGTCTGTTGCTCTTGAGCATTTATAAGTATATATGTTTTAAAACTTTCATCAGTACTAAGAGACGGTACTATAATGAGATTCAGATAAGAAGACATCTGGTTATACATCATTGTTGAGGTAAATAATGGGTTGACAACTATTGGATTTTGGCATGCATCTCTAACTTGTATAATTGTTCTCTTGATCTGACATAATCCTTTCATTTCAATTTATTAGTTTAAAGATTTCATTAGTCAGCAACTTTGTGACAAACATTTAGGCCTTGTTTGATTGGAATTATTTTTCAGAGGATTAGGAAAATATTTTTCATTTTTCACTTTTTTGGCTGTTTGATGGATGAAATTTTCCACCTTTAGCCCACATGTGTGCATTTTCCAACTTTTTGGTGGGAAAAAATTTTCCACGCTGGTTGGGAATTTTTTTTTTTTATTTATTTGTAATGGAAACAAATGTCATAACCAATGGTAAAAAAAAAATTTCACTTTAATGGACAATTTTCATGTAAAACAAAGTCAAACGAACACTAAACTTTGATAAAAAAATGATTTTTTAGGAAACAATTTTTTTCCCCTTTTTTTACTTTTTGGCAATGGAA